ATCCGACATCGAGTAAGGAGCTGAATTTCCTGATAACATATCACAAAGTTGAAATTTTTTATCCGAAATAACGTTTGTTCGAATTATCATTACACCGAAAACCGAATTATAATGAAATAGTTGTTCTTTCAGGATATGTTGAATGTTTATCGCAAACACACGATTAGGTTCGGTTAAGTTAGGTTTAAAAGAAAAAACATTTTCCTCTCAAAATTACTTTCGAGGTTATGAAATTTCGACCAAACGTTATTTCTGGAAAATGTCATTTCGGACTACGGATAGGTAACCAAATTTTCTTCTACTTCTATTTAAATATCTTGGTCAAATACTAATTGATGATTTCTGTGATAACAAAGATGTAGAAAGGGAGTGTAGGGCTGTCTCATCATCATCATCAGCTTACACGCATCCACTGCTGCACATAAGCCTCCCCTTGAACACGCCAACTCTCCCAGTCTTTTGCCGCCCACATCCCGCCGCTGCCGACTACCTTTCTCAGGTCGTCCATCCATCTTGCCGCAGGGCATCCCACACTACGTTGACGTGGCCGCTATTCCAGAACAAGTCTGCTCCATCGGCTATGACGGTCACTTTAGTTTTCTGACGTATGACTTCGTTAGAGATTCTGTCCATCAGAGAAACCCCAAGGACTTTGTCAGTGAGATGTAATATGCTGGCGCGCAGGTTCGCGAGATGCTCCATCGCCGCCAAAATTAGTCTACCCAACTCATGGCCTGTGGGTTAAATATACGAAACGTGCTTGCTAACGTCCTACGCGCTGAGACTGCCGATAATGTGCAATTGTGTCAGCCATGTTTGCAGAGGCGCACATAGACGGCTTCCAATCGATAACTGTTACAATTGTGTACTTATTTCTACCATAATTCCGTATGTTAAGTCATTAATAAGTGATTATTCTGTTATTATTTTAATAATTAATTTTATCAATTAAATAATTTGGTTGCTGTCAATATCAAAATCATATAAAATTAATATTTAGCGAAATGATTCAAAAAAATACCACGTGTTACGGTCACAAACAACTTTGACGTTGAGCGAACGGTGGTTTGTGCTGGAATATAAAAAGCAGTCAATGATGAAGCCGAGGCATTCTTGATGCAGTGTACATTATTTATCACTTTTGCTCTAATTATTATGTAGTACGTGGTGAATTAATTGCATATGAAATATTACTGTTTATGCAAAAGTTTAGGTGGTTCAAGGTTAAAGGTTAGGTGCGCGTCCGCCGCGGCCTCGCGCACCCACTCCACAGCCTCCTTTTACGGCATAACCTCTCCGCAAGAGCGCCTCCCAGAACTCCTCGCTGCTGTAGTCTAGGCTCTACTCTGTGAGTAGAAATACTAGCCGAATGAATATAGATTTGTGTTTAGAATGTATTTAAAAAAATATGGTAGAAAAAAGAAGAACATCTTGGCAGTTCTAGAAGAAGCTTCCAAAAATCAACATGTAAAATACGTTATAAATATTTATTTATGAAGATAATCCCAGTTTATATTTAAAAGGATCTCTCGCTACGCTACCTGAGGTACGTCCTATGCTAATATGGTGGAGATCGCCTTACAAGTGGTTACGATCACCTTGCGTGAAAATTCCGTTGTGGAAAATTTTTTATATTTTATTTTTGAAAAATCTCTGAAGGAAGAAGAAGAGGAAAGCCATAATATAAGGTCGTAATTTATATTTTATTTTTGTGTTTGAACTTGATATTATGTCTTTGTGCGCTTCGTAGTGAAAAGGGGCAAAGTAGAAAACTATAAAATTAATTGTACGCCGGCTCAGATATTTACGGGCTTAAATGATGTAGACCAATTTCTAGACCAGATTGAGGCAATAAGCGTAATAAAAAACTGGTCAGATATATCAGGAACGTAATTTAAATAGAACTGTTGCGCTGTTGATCTCGATTCCCGTGAATAGTATCTTTGAGCGGTTAGGAATTGATATTTTAGGACCGTTCAATCGTTCGGATAAGGGCAATAAATATATAATTCCATGACGACGGTGTATCTTGACGAATATTTTGATGGATTTTTTTTTCCGGCGAATGCAGACGATTTATGGACGGGAGGAGGAGATGAACTACCGACTTGGATAAATATAACTTTTTTTCACTGTTTTTTCATTTTATGGATATATTATCCTGTGTATGTGCATAGTTGTTGGTCATTCGTCCAGACGAACAGAAACTGTCTGCATTCAAGGGAAAATATATTTGTTTAATTATTAGGACTCCTCCATACGATATATCACCATATCATATTGGTGTTAGGAAATGTTGTTGTTAGGATAATTTGCGTATTGTTTTAATTTGTTCAAATAAAGTAAGAAAGTTAGGTGGAACGTGGATAGCAGCAGGACGAGGACTAAGGCAGCTGGGAAGTCAATATTGATGTTCCCCAGTGGACGTCTGATGAGTGCTCAAGCCTGTGTAGCAGCGTGCACGTTGAAGATAGTTTAGTGATGCATTTAGGAAGTTCTAGTAGTGATGTTTAAGGATTTGTTAGGAACATTCAGCCAAGCTAAGGTAGCTGAAATAAAGAGTTAGGATTTAGATAGGTTACCTAAATAGCTAGGATAGCTAACGAATAATTACATTTTGAATTGTTTGATTAGGATGTGGTCATGGTCTGTCCTTTTAGATAAGTTTTTGGCAGACTAAAGCTAAAGCCTCCTCGGTGGTTTGCTTGTTGGTAAGCTAGTAGCTTCCGAGCAGTGTGTGGCTAGCCTATAGTAAAGGCTGATCACTTGTTTAAGTTGCCTATCATAGGTAGGGCACCATCTAGTTCACCCCTTCAGTTGTGAGGAAGAGGTATGGTAGTCTAGGCTCTACTCTATGAGTAGAAGTACTGGCTGAATGAATATAGATTTGTGTTTAGAATGTATTTAAAAAATAGGATAGAAAAAAGAAGAACATCTTGGCAGTTCTAGAAGAAGCTTCCAAAAATCAACATGTAAAATACGTAATAAATATTTATTTATGAAGATAATCCCAGTTTATATTTATAAGGATATATATAACTGCTTCCGTGGCCGAACGGGTTGTCGTTCGTGAACGGGTGGTTCGTTCCGTGGCTTAGTTGGTATAGCGTCTGGCACGGTATGCAAGAAGACGTCGGTTCGAATCCGACCGGATCGAAGGAATTTTTTCTGAGTGTTCGATCTTTGTATTAATAATTATAATAGATTGAAAGTTGTTATATCAATCGTCTATTATACCCAGTGATCTTTATAATCATGCAATAATATGTCAAATGTCTGTATACCATAAATTAATTATATCTGTACGGCTTTCATAAACGTGTAAGTTCTTCGCATTGACTTACAATTATATGGACGTCGGGTCCGCGCTAAAAAGTGTCCGCACTTGTAAGGCGCTAAAATCGTATACAGAGCGCGACACTCCGCTTTAGTCTTCATTTGTTCTACGAACAGCGCGATACTGCGATGACATAACAATTTAAATTTCGAATAGGTTGACTTGGGACATTTTTTTCGTGGTTTTTGTATTAGACCCGTCGTCCATTTATTTGTAAGTCAATGGTTCTTCGTTAAATATTCGCGCGGTTTGCAACGTCAAATACGTCATTCACGAAGGCGCCCCCTATTGGCGGGCGTAAGCACTGCACGCCGTTACTTTCGAGCACTTTCACGAACAAGGCAAAAATGACCGGTGTTCTCTAAAATACATAAATAACCTAAAATCTCATGAGACCGTGAAACCTGGTGCTAAATAGACATATCGTGAACTTGTCCATAACTCAAAGCCGTGCCTCGCGGATCAAATTATCCTCATCGTGGTGTCGCCCAAATCGCAGCACGCGGGGCCGGCTAGCTAGCCGCCGTGATCCAGCAGCTCCTGTATTTTCATCAACCAGATCAAGGTAAGTGGTGCTTTGTTCAGTGCTTGGCATTGACGGTGCAAACCTGTAGGTACGGTTCTCATCTTCCAATAGGAATCGCGAGACGGCTCATTGTGGAGCTACGTCTATCCTGCAGATGTATGGATCCTTACCATTTTGTTACCTTCATTCCCATACAATATCTGTTGAGCGTAATATCGACTAAAAATGTGTCATTTGTTCTTATATATTACAAACTGCACCCGTTACATTATGACAATTGCAAAAAAAAATTAATTCAATCGTAAAAACCACACTTTCTATAAGTATTGAATCAAAATCATACTCTGAAAAACTTTATATAATTTCTTAGTAGCCAGAACTTTACAATTGTAATTGTCTTGACCCCAAAGGAACAAGAATAAAATTGCTGTTTTTGGTATTGTTGTTCTCAAAGTTACAAATTCATTTAGGCAGAATGAATAGGTTTCTATAATAAGATCGCTGTTGATTCAAAATTTGCCTTTTACGAAATTTGATATTGTTGTGGAACAAAAACTTTATACACAAAAGGTTATTTATTATACAGCTTGTCGGGCTAGATGGGAGGTCGGATTAGAGAGCTTAGGAGAGCTAGGAAGGTATGAAATCAAAAAGATTTAGAATAACAATACGTTTATATCGAGTTTTTAGGTTTTCGCGATTGTTACCATAGGAAATGAAACTATTTTTCCGGATTTAAATCGCGTATATTTGTTTTTTCAAACAAACCGACGTTTCGGGCCCTTTACAGGTCCCATGGTCACGGTTGACTGAGGTGGTACAGTCTTCAACCAGTTATCTCTAATATTAATGCAAAACACCCTATTTTTTCACTATAGTTACAATAGTTATTAATTAAATACCTTATTTTTAATTTTACAAAGAAAACATTTCAATTTACGCTATATTAAATTTTACAAATTATTTATTGAATGAATTTTTATTAAGTTCAATTTATTATTGATTATTAATAGAAATTAGAATAAACTAAAACATATTAATTAGTACTGCAGTCTTATGTCTGTTTGGGATCTTTTATTAGCGGAAATACTGGATACGTTTATGTCAAAAAGAAAGCACGAGTGGTGTGGTGTGTAGATGAAGAAGATAGAAGTTGGATACAAGGAGTTGGAGGTCTCTGCCCTCCAAGGTTGGAGACCGAGGGCAGAGGTGAAGAGCCGGAGAGCAGCGGGTTTGGCGTGGAGAGGTTGACTTAGAAACAGAGGCGGTTATGCACCACTCAGCTGCTCCTGTGGCGAGGTGGAGCTTGTAGTTAGGCGCTCCACGTTCGCCGGGCGAAGGGCCCAGTTCAGTTAGGCATAGCGTACAGTTGATGAGCAAGCTTAGGTGGGTAATCGAGGAACTTAGTTCAGGCGGACGCGTAAGCGCGCTTGGAGTAACTCCAGGCGTAAGAAAGATGAGGCTGTGTATATGCTGCGGATAACTCGAAGATCGGTATAGGAATGACGAGTGAGACAGAGCATCGAAATTCGAATAGCGAATTTACAATTAGAAAAAGCCAAAATGTGAGCGGACTGAAGCGGAAACGCTGTATCAAAGGAAGGAGTAATTTATAAGATAATCTATGGAAGAATAGATTGTAGAGAAATAACAGATCCTTAATCAATGTCAACATATCCGCAGCTCATTTGAACAGGAATAAAACTTAGAAAGTCACCCACAATTGAACATTGTACCTAATACTGATGATGGTACTCTCGATCACTCACTTTAGTGCGTAAAGACTGCTTAAAATGACCTACTAAAGATTTATAAAAAAGATTATAAAGAAGAGGACATCCCCCGCCTCTTGCCATCATTACTGCAGAATACGAAGACTCATGAACATATATGTGCATACATTCTTTCCACTATTGAAGAGATATAGACACCCGAAAACCCGAAATATATTGAAAGAAGATAGTCTCATAAACACAGTATTTGAAAAGATACGAAAAAAAATTTCGTCATCGATATGATGGATTTATTTCGATGCTACAAAACTAATATTAAAATATATATGTTTATAAAGTCACATTGATGAAAAAGTACGTAGGTAATTAGCATTAGAAAAACGAATAGCAAAGTGCAGAGATACCATCAGTACGAGAAAATAACCCAAGGTCTGGAGATCAGACATGAACAGTGAATAAACTATCAAAGTGAGAAAAATAGCTTATAATGGGTAATTTAAGTAATTTAAGCACTAATACAATAGTATATATTACTTGGAACTCTTTCAGGAATCAGGAAAAGTAAGGGCGTTTCCTAGGAACGCGTAATGAGAGAGATAACGATGATGAAGGGTCTGTAGTTTCACACTACAAGCTATATATAACAAAAATCCTTTCCTTTGCTTTCTTATCTCTCATTTAAATATTGTCTAAATGTTTTTGTCACATTGTCTTTTATTTTTTATGCCATTACTGTATAATTGATTATTTGATTAGGTATTCCAAAGCTTTAATATTTTATGTGTGTACTATAAAATAACCAATACTTTAGATAGATAAACATTCAATCGTGCTAAAAATGAAACTTACGTACAAGAACATTACCTACCCAATCGAAATTGCATGTGGCCAAAGCCTGGATGCCACAGTGCCGAGAAATGAGAAAAAATAATCTATGGTCGAACTTAATCAATTGCGTTATGTTCTTGCGTTTATTCTAAAATACATTGTTTTACAATTTCTTTATTCCCGACTTCTAAAAATATACAAAAATATATATTACTAGGCATAAACTAAAATGTAAAACTATACTAGCAAAGCTCATGAACGGCTCTTCGTAGATTTTAATTATTATTGGGTCAGCTTTCGCCATCCTTCTTTACAGGCGTCCCGCTCTGAGGGCAAATAATAATGGTCACATTATATATAATTAATTTATATTGTTTATTTGTGGGTTACAATATGGATACAACTTATACGCATTGGATATTTCTTAGGTACTCTTTTCTCTTTCTCAAGGAGCTTCTACCATTACTAAATTACGTATTAGTAAACGTATTGATTGGTGATGACAAATTTAAACTTACAATTTACACGGAAATAGATTATTTACGTCACTACAGAGGAAATTCTGTATCGAACTACAGCCACATAAATAACTTCTCAAGTATAAAAAATCATGAACTCGAAAATCTTAACTATGAAACTTGAAAATTACCTGTAATGGTAGTATAACTTCAGAGTCTCATTTAAATTTGCCTAACAAACTCGCAAACTTTGCCAACCACGAGAATACTTCGAGTTTCCTATTTACACGCCAGTTTATTCCTGCGACGTCTTTTGAATGAGTTTTTCATTAAAAAGGAGACTAAGGCTGAATTACATTGCCGCCGAATGGAATCGAAGCGAAATTGTACACAGCATAATGAACTTTATGCCGATTGTGTGACGTATAAACTAGATACGATACGGTATCTCTGGGAATTCCCGTGGCTGCGCGAGAATTCTCGGAAAAACGCGAGACCTGCTTCTTAACCTACTTTTAAAAAAGGCTTTCAATTCGATTGTTATTTTTCGTTGTGTGTATGTAACGCGGTCACTCCGGTCGGCATTTGTGAACCAATTTCGACGACAATTTTCTTTACCTTGGAAAGAGGGTACCTCAGTGTTGGTCCCATTTCAATTTAAAGAAACTATTCTACCTCGGAGGGTTGCTAACTAGAAGACAAATCCGGTTTCGTGCACTTTCCGGTAACGGATTTCAATTAAACTTGGCAAAAAGTTGTAATTCCACGAAGATTTGAGGTCGGTTTTTTTTATAAAAAACTCAATTTTTTTAAATATTAATAAATGATTAATAAATTAATAACTTCACACACGTTGCTCTGATCTGAAGTAGGCAATTAAAGCAATTGTGTTATGGAAATTAGAAACAACGATGGTACCACAGACACCCAGACCCGAGACAATACACAAAAGTTACTTTCCTAGAAATGGCGATACCATGTAAACCGGTGTGCAAGCTTCACGACCACGAAGGTTATCAAAATGTATATATGTAATTTTTTATTATTATTAACGCACACACTCCTTTCCAATTGGAGAGGATGTGGCATTTTTCTGTGTCTAATGGAGCAATAAACATGTTTGACGTAATTCCACTTATGCCATTCTTCCATGAGGGGTACGTAAATGTAGGCTATATAAATATTTCTCCCAGCCCGGGAATCGAACCCGGGACCTCTGCGTCGTAAACCAGCATGGTAACCGTTCGGCCACAGAGGCAGTTAAGTTTTTATGCCTAAAACTAATATGTTCGCATGCCTAATTTATGTTTTCAGTACGAAGTGATAGACGGACAAGTCATGTGCCTGGTGGTAAGAGATACGCCTGTCCACAACAGTTGCAGTGCGGCTCAGAACTGTAAATCACACAGATCTTGGGGACACTGTCACGCGCTGGTTATCGAGATACCAAACTGCGAACCCAGGTAAATTCTATCGTCTCCCGTCTAAGGTCCTATCGACGCAACCTCAAATGGCATTGGTTGATTCCGCATAAAGGACCGTTTACACGGGGCCAATCGACGAGCCATTCCATATTAGCGTCGTGTAAATAGAGACAATCCACTATGGAGTGTCTTCAGATCAATGATAAAGACAATTTACTAAATTAGAACGATTTCTAATATTTCGGGCCAATACCTTCCCTTACTATACGTGATTTGCTCATGTAGGTAATGGTCTTGTGTGAACGTGGCTCCTGAACCACTCCACTAGTTCGCCTTACGTTTTAGTAAAGAATCTTAGAGAAACTTATTGTAATACTGGCTGTAATGTTGATGGACGTTGTGCATTTCGCACTTTTCACTTGGCTTTGTAGAATGGCTCATCAATTAGCCCGTGTAAACGGGCCATTACAGTGAAAGTGTTAACACAATCACTTTAGACAAAATATATAGTACAATTGAGGTTATACATTATGGATTAGTCCAAATGGTCTGAAAATTTTCACGATAGAAAAAATCACAAACTTACCTAGAAGTTTTACAAAAAAAATCAGTATACACTGGCTTTCTTGTAAAATTTCTTTCTACCAATGATTTTTTTTTATATTAACTAAAGTAAAAAGAACGCGTATAGTATACGATATGCATTTTTCAAATGGCTATAATTTCCTTTGAAAAAAAAATCTGTAATCCAATAATCCAATTTGATCAGATCTCGTAGTATCCACTCTTAAAGCAGCCCTGCTTTGCAATAAATAGGGCTGTACCATATTTCCAACGTTCAATAGTTCTTTCTTTTTATTACAAAAAAAAAAATGGAACCTATTCGCTCACACAAAAAAGGCAGTAAGCATAAGAAGCTTTCTATTGTCCATAAGCTCAGCTGAATAAAGTTGTACGTCGGTACTTCTAAAGTTTGTTCCATGTCCAAATTCAAATAAAATCCGACCATTTCTTACAGCATGCATGGCGTATCTTTGGCCGGCTACAAGCAAAGCAAATACAACAAAGATATTATATTTTCTACGATCATACGCTTAGAAAGAAACATTTACCGTGCAAATCTTTTTCATATTCAAATTCGAATGATTTTAAACGAAATCTATTATCATCATTGACTTACAATTATATGGACGTCGGGTCCGCGCTAAAAAGTGTCCGCACTTGTAAGGCGCTAAAATCGTATACAGAGCGCGACACTCCGCTTTAGTCTTCATTTGTTCTACGGACAGCGCGATACTGCGATGACATAACAATTTAAATTTCGAATAGGTTGACTTGGGACATTTTTTTCGTGTTTTTTGTATTAGACCCGTCGTCCATTTATTTGTAAGTCAATGATTATCATCGTGTTTTTTTTACCCACGACGTAAAAAGAGGGAAGTTATAAATAAATAAAATACACAAACACATACCGTTCGGTTAAATTTAAAACGTTGTAACTCCGTTTTTGGACGAAATCCATTTATTTTCTCTTCAAACGCAATATCGATGTCGAGCATTGTAACAGTATTTAACCACCATGCTATTCAATATTTTTTGTGAAATTATTCCATTAGCTTGATACAATTATTAATACAAATCAGTGTTCATGTTATGGAAATTGGAAACAAGGACGGTACCACAAACACCCAGACAGAAAAGTTAGTTTCTACATTGACCCGGCCCGGGATTGAACCTGGGACCTTAGAGATGGCGACATCATAAACACGGGTGTGCAAAACCACTCGACCACGGAGATCTTAAAAAAATATAATTTACAAGCCTTTGTCTGCGTATCTCGATACCTCCAACGGACACTACGCCAAGTTTATTTTTTTTTTGATCATCTTCTGTTATTTTTGTAAGCAGCCATATTTATTTAGTAATGTTGTGAAAAAAAAAACAAAAAACAAAATTCGAAGAAAAAACATACAAACGGATTTTGTGAAAAAAAATAAGGAAACAAAAAACAAAATTAAAACGAATACGTCCAAAAATGAAATTGACGTAGTGTTCATTGGAGGTATCGATCTGTTGTCCATCTGCGTCCACGTAGCTCCCAAATGGATGGACAAATCTCAAAGCGGTTTTTTTTAAAGATTATTCAATCGGAATGGGTTTTACCCACTTTTAGCTTTGTTTTATGAACTTCTATTCAGCTGTTTAAAGATCATCAGTTTTTCAGAGATCACAGTCATAAAATGAAAAATTATTTGTAATTTTTTTAAGTTTATTAAATGTCACGACGTTTGACTAGCAATGGGCCAGCGTGATAGTCAATTATTTTTATGGAATTACTCCACTACTTTGTTGCAATTATTAATACAAATATCGAACACTTAGAATAAAAATTCCTTTTTTTGCTTTTTCTATTCCTTTCTTTGGCATTTGTGAACCGATTTTGAAAATTCTTTTTTGTTTGCAACTGAAGTACCCCTCAGTATTGGTTCTGTTTAAATTTGAAGACAATATTCCACCTCTAAGGGTGGCAAACTAGGGGATGAATCCGGTTTCGTGCACTCTAACCGGTAACCGATTTCAATAGAACTTGAGAAACAGATGTAATTCCACAAATTTTTGAGGCCGGTTTTTTTACATAAAACTTATAATTATTGCATCATTTAATAAATAATAGGTTTAAAAATTTCGTTTCACTGTATATTTTTTTATTTACGTTTTGCTTACTCATTGTACATGTAGTTTTATTACACCACGGGTGCAATGTAGTGTTCAGATGAAACAAACTTCAGTTTCGGTTGTCCTTACAGAGTAAATATCCGATTCACAGCTTTATTTGCTGACCGGTTTCATTACAGTCAGACCCATAATGAATTTACAACGAAAGATTTTCGGCCCTCCAACTGCGACCATTTCAATTTGCGAGGATTCCGTTTTTGTTTGAACAGGTGTTGTGTTGAATATACAGGGTAAAACTGGATTTTGTGCACAAACAATTTTCAGTAAAATCTGTTCAGGTATTTTTTTGCCATGGTAGCCGTAATGGTTTACTATAACGCCTCTCAAGCAGACGCCATGGGTTCAAATCCCGGCTCTCATCTTTGAGTTATTCGGAATTTATGAGCGAAATTTACTTTGAAATTTACTATGAGCTTATCGGTGAAAGAAAATAACGCGATTAAATCTGTATGTCGAATAAGGTTAACAACCCTCGGAAAACGTGTAACGTTCCCAATGCGCAATAGGCCACGGTAGCCGGTGGCGGACTATGACCTAAACTCTCGCCTGAGGCTATGGCCTAAAGGGCACTATGACCTGTGCGAACTCGCTCGCGGATAACCCAGAGGTTGATAGGGTTGACACTATAAACAAAACTTAAGTAGATAGATAAGGGACTGTAATAACATCTTTCAACTTACTACGCCCTAGACTCTTTGATTGATCTACTACTGCAAACCCGAGGATATCCAAGAAGCTTACCCTTTTTTTTTTTTTTTTTTTTTACGGGGAGGAAATTTTTATGGATACCCCTGAGCCCAGGGAGACTCAGGGGTTATGTGGGGACTCTCCCTCCAGACTGGAGGGCCTACCCCACTAAAACCGCCCCGGGTTTCCCTCTCGCCGGTTGAGTCGGCGCCGTGGGATCAGTGAACATTCACCACGACGCCGCCGCCCTACTCAATTATAAATCACCAACCCTTCATGACTTAATAGTCTAAGGTTCCATCCTTTCAGCGCTTGAGCGTTTTCCACCAAAAAAATTTTGGGTAGGCAAATGGTAGGTAAAGATTTTATCGTACAGCCTCTTTATAAACGCTCATCAAAAGTATTCAGGGATTAAGGTATTTTTTTAAAATAATTGATTACCTTAAATAAAATAAAAACAAAAACATCAAACCTCGTTAAAAACCGCCGCGAAACGTGTAAGATCCGCTAGTTCGTTCGGTTAGTTGGCATGGCGTCTAGCACGGTTTGCTAGAAGATGTCGGTTCGAAGGATTTTTTCTAAAGTGTTTGATCTTTGTTATTACTAATTATGAAAGTATCTTTATAAATATATTAAGTTATTTATTTATGTATCTTATTAATTACGTAATTGTCCAAAAACACTATTGGTGTTTAAAAACGATTTAATTAAAAAAACCTGATTTTCAGTAATTGGCAAAAATATTATACAGTTCTGATGTGTGTTGTTTAGAAATTTAATATCATTGTGTGTATACATTGACTTACAAATATGTGTATAGCTTAGAGTATGGGAAAAAAATAAAGGAATAGTCTAAGGTGTATAGAGACTGTATGGTAAAATATCTGCTTAACCAATAGTTAATCAAAAAAAATATTTTGACACTAGAGGATGGAAAAAAAATCTAAGAACTATGCCATCCTGTAAGCAGAAAAATAAACTAGTCTAGAGGATGGAAAAAAAACATAGACGACCACTTAACCTGTCTTTTATTTATTCTACCCTTCACGACATATAAACTGTCTTATGAACACCGGCGCTTGTCGCCTTTTCCATCGAAACAAGGAAAGCTACTAAATATATGAATAGGCTGTATGGTCCACCTTTGCCTACCCAAATAAATGCGTGAAATTTTTCCTAGAATAATCCTCATCGATAACCTTCTTGAACTATACAAAACCCCAGAAACCATCACGCGTTCTTTACCAGATCTCCTGAAAAATCAAGAATGTTTTCTAATTTTATATCATTTCGTAAGAAGCACCATCGAAGACATTTTGTAATGAAAACCAAGAAAGAAATTACTCTCAGTCTTGGCTGAATGGCGCATTAGTGCCTTTGCCATTTCCAATGGAAAAAACAGTACCAAACAAAAAGACAAAAATGTAAATAAACGTGACGACAACATTTGACACACAATACAACTTTAGTTTTACTTTGTGGAATTTAATTTCAATTCGGTTTGTGCAGTTTACAATAAAATTACTGTTTTTTTATATATAGGATTCCTGAAGAAGTTTAAAAAACATTTCATGAATACCTATATCTCAAATCAATTCTATTATACTTTGTCTGTCTCAAACGATTAAAAATAGAGCACGATGTTGGACAATTTGCCGAAACTAAAAAAATTCATGTGCTGTATTTCCCTCAGCCACGGCACTATTTTCATATCAATCTTTGGTGCGGTAAGTATCCAGAATTTCAGTCAGTTTTTTTCTAACCTATGACCGATGGCCTCATGGGAAAGCGAGAGTATGCTTCTGATGGTTCACAGGATCATAAAAATAAACAAAATGGATTGCACCTTTATTACTGTTTATTTTGTTCACGATTGTCTTCCTAAGGATCAACAGTTCTCTCAAGCCACATGAAGAGGATTACGGGTATTTGAGAAAAACAATTTTTTTTATATTAGTTCTAGTTTGAGTATACTAGGTAGTGCCCTTGAAATTTGTTTCTTTTTGGTACTCATAGATATAGAAGCTCAGGAGAGGAAGTTTTGTGTAAAAAACCGCTAAATAGATCATAATAACAAATATACTAAACAGTCACAAAGACTACTGGTCTGATACTACTGGTCTGATCTTGCCATATAGATCAGACCATAGTGACCAACTAGCTTATTTTAATTGTAAAATGAGCAAGAAGGTAGACCAATTTCTCTGCAGACCGATTACCACAGAACGAATCATTAGATTCAAAATAATATCGGCAATAGTTTAAATTCCCTACCCCATATACTGGAGGTTCCAAATACTTTATATAGCATGATATTTGGTTTAATTAAAAATTAATTTCATAATGTATTTAAATCGAAAACATTAACTTTCCATAGAGAGACTAGATTCAAAGACTGGGCAATAGTAGGTATTCATAAGAGTAGGTCTCGTTTGTATGGGCTATATGCTATGAAAATTTATAATACTAATTCCAATTTCAAATATGTTAGAAATTATTCAAAAATATTTAAAAAAGTATGTGCAGCTGCTAAGGTTAAGTTTCACAGCGACAAAATAGACAATCGAAAAATAAATCTAAAACTACTTGGAGCATTATAAATAAAGAGTCAGGCAGGAGTAAACAACACGATAAAGATATAGTTTTAGAATTACACAGCAAACTTATAAAATCTAAAGACAAGGTAACGCAAGCTTTTGAGTCGTTCTTTTCGGAAATTGCTGTGAACACTACAGAATCATTAAATTCCTCCCCTTCTTTTGCTATTGATCTCCTAAAGGAAAATGTTAACATTTGTGGCAGTTTATTTAATTTCCGTCATGTTAATCCACAAGATATCATAAAAGCTTTTAAATCAATACATATTTAAAAAACTGAAAATCTCTGGGCCATATCAACTAAAGTTATAGACTCAGTTATTGATCTAATTTCCCCACATTTAGCTGTAGCTTTCAATAGGTGCATTGATGAAACTGTTTTTCCCGATTTGATGAAATACAGCAAGGTTATTCCCTTATCCTAGCAACTATAGGCCCATTTCAATTTTACCAGCTTTAAGTAAAATATTCGAAAAGGTTATGCTGCGTAATAGGACAGTAATTGAGTCAGCATATGACTCAATTACTGTCCTCCGTTATTCCGGTAGGAATCATATTTTTCATAGTGAACAATACGGGTTTACTTGTGGTAAATCGACTATCGAGGCGGGGGTAGCGTTACTAAAACACATCTTTGATGCTTGGGAAAGGTCCCAGAACGCTATTGGTGTTTTCTGTGACCTCTCAAAGGCATTTGATTGCGTTGACCATATTACTCTTATTAGGAAGCTGGAACACTACGGTGTAAATGGCAAGGCGTCGGAAGTTGTCTCGTCATACCTCAACGGTAGAATTCAGAAAGTAGACATAAATAGAGTGACTTCTTTGGGTTCTCCGGTAAAAATGGGTGTTCCGCAGGGCTCAATACTTGGACCTTTCTTATTTCTGATTTATATTAAAGATCTGCGGTTCTTTTGTTAAAGAACATTGCGAAATTGTATTGTTTGCTGATGACACATCCTTGAACTGGCATTATCGTGTTGCAAGATGATATGGCGTTTACGGTTATTTTTACGGAGTTTGTCAATAACTTCCGGCAAACAAATAGTCGTGTTCCAATCGCTATTCACGGTACGACGATTCTCCTAAGCAACAGTAGCCACATGTCAACTTTTATTTAAAAAAGAAGCAATAGAGCGCTTAGAGGCGCTTTGCACGCGCGCCACTTAGTTGGCCGTCACATCTGTCTGTCTGTCTGTTTTGATCATACAGCGCACAGCATCGATATTTTTGTTGTTCACAGAAGTGGACGGGCGACCATCACGAAATTCGTCACTGAGATTCACACGACCGCGTTTGAATTCTGCAAACCAGCCATAAATAGTCGTCTTGCATGGTGCTTCATCGCCAAAACCAGTTTGAAACCGAGCGAAGCTCCGCTAAACTGTTCAATTACACTTAAAGTCGTAAAAAATCATACTACGAAAATTTTCACGAGTTAAATATATGGTGATGTAGACAACCAATCTCTAAAATGACGCCACAGTGTAAAAACTAGTGACAGTCAGATGAAACAAACTGTATTCTACAGCCAAAGAGTTCCATTTTCAAATGTCGTAATTACTTTTTAAACATTGTTTATGTAAGTGGCCAGTTCCGGAAACTTATAGTACGCCCTATGTATATAATACAGATTTATTATATCAATATAATGAGATGTAACATAGTATATAAGGGGACTCGAATTTTCAATTTGTATTGCCGATAAATATGTAGTAACTATAATTATTAACTAAGTAACGATAAAGTTGGACACGCAATTTCAAATACCTTGATTACCTTATTTGAAAGTACCTGTCCAAAATATAACATTCTAGGTGCTTTTAATTTTTTTTTAATAAACCTTCAGGATTATTCTAGTTAGTGAATTAATGAAAAATATATTATTATATTTATATAAATAGCTAATGAGCTTGTGTAATTTTAAGGATTCTCTTAATAGAATTATAGATAACAGATTCGCGTTACAATTTTCGCTTTGTTGCCACTCTGACCAAGTACGAGAAAGTGATCGGTAACCCTGCCACTTCACGCACACATTTGCGCGTGTGTAGACGCCTTGCTGTATGTAGTAGTAGTAGGTTAATAACTTTCGACCATTGTATGGAGTGTCCGGGGTGTGCCAGAACCAACTTTTAAAAGTATCGTTATTTTTAACCACTCACACACTAAAATATCTTTAAAAAAACACTCACATAGTCACATCGGAACTAACTTTTAAAAGAGGCCATGAATCATTCATTACGGTATGTTATGCAAATGATGTTGTTAATCGTACTATGGACCTGTACCAAGAAATGTTCCTTAGTCGGCGAACTACACCCTTCACATTGCTGTAAAGGACTCAATTTTGTCTGTCCTTAGCTAGGATCAAAGTATGAAGGGAAAATTTAATTATTTTCAATGTACTCTTTAAGGAGGAAAGCTTGACACGCGCTCGTAGCGCGCGCGGGAATTCCATTTTCTACCGCTCAGCTGTTTCATAGAGTAGCCCAAATAAAGAGTGTGTTGATATGGTAGTGTGGTAACTTTTTGTACATTCGGAATATTTATCAGCTGCACGTTTGCCCTCTAGATATATTTTTCTCGTTCAACCTCGTTCTCTCGTTATCTCATTCAGGGTAACACCCTGTATATACATAATATACTTAATAAAAAGCGACCACCCATGAAGCTCTTCACGGGCGCTGCGTTTTAACTGATATGGTGTGCTTGCGTATATAATGAAAACAGTGCATATCTAATGTTCTTGAAACTGGTGCAAAATTACCATAAAGAAAATTAGTAAAATAATAGGGTTATTTAAACGAACCGTGTCAAAATATTTTTACTTCGGAAATTGAGATGGCAGGACGTGTCGCGTAGGTTGGCAGCTTTTTTATTTAATGCCCAAAAGGAAGGGTATATTGCGTCGAACTTATATTCACACAGTTTCAATTAGTGATAACAACAATTTAGTAACCCATAGAAGATACATTTCCTGAGTCGCTTCTTATGAAAGAATTCATTCAGGAAGGTACTGCCGCCATGGCTATTTCTGCAGCCAAGCAGTAATGTGAGTATTAGTGCGTTTTGGTTTGGAATGGTGTTGGCAGTGGCGGATTTACCCTAAGGCCCAGTAGGCCAGATTTTAGGGGCGGCCTAAATATTCTAAAGGCTTACACTTATTATATCTAATTGTGTATGAGAATGAACTCATAGTTGAATAGATAAAACCTAAAACCGTCTTAAATGTTTTAATTAAATCTGAAACCTCCGAAAATATTGAAAACTAGCAGCTATTATAGTTAACTAAATTTCTGATTCGATTTCGATAAAAGTTGGCAATAAAGTAAATTCGTTACGTAGTCTACCAGTAGGTATATGATAAGTGCTGAGAAATGGGCCGCTGGTACTGACTACATGGTTTGGAGCCTAGGGCGACCAAGAACAAAACCGCCACTGGGTGTTGTTGGACTTGTCAACTTTGTTTTTTTTTATGATACCAATTTACGGGACATACGAGTCTTGCATCTGGTGGTAAGCAACATGCCTGTACATAACAGGTGCAGTGCCACTCTATAAGATTTGAGGACCACTGCATTCGACACCAGACATGGGGTGCAGGAAAGGAGCCTCTCCGCAATGACGTACAAATCGTTTCACCATTATGGCAAACATATCCCATGCACAGTTCATCATGGCGGTTACTGGTGGCGTGATTGCCGCGATAACATAATGTATGCTATCGATACGGTAAGAAGAAGACCCTGTGACATAAGTTGACAAGTCTCATGTGGTCGCAGTAGCAATCTCCTTCAAATCTTTGCGATTAAAAAGCTCCATAGATAGGCGTGTCGCGAAACACCAGGTGTACAAAGTATTTATCGTGGTCTTGAAACGCGGTGGCGTCCTATTTTAGTAGCAGTAGACCTCCTTGTGAAAGAGTTCATCCATGGAAGTACTGCTACCTTGCCTATTTCTGGAAGCAGTAATCTGAGCATTACTGCCTTTTGGTACTGAAGGGTAAGGGCGCTGGTGAAATTACAGGCACATGGGACTTGTCCGTCCCTTCACTTGGTATCATAAAAAAAAATTATGAATGATTTGCATTTTCAGGAGTTTGCCCATTTGTTCACAGATCCTGGTAATAGGTTTTCTAGTAAGAGGTTCTATCTCAAGTTTTGGGTTCGACTTCTACCAACAATCACAATTTAAGATCTGGATCTATTACGTCATGTTTAAATACCTCTTGGCCTGTATGTTTGCAGGTATAGCCTGGATCAATCGTTGTATAGCTCGGGTAAGGACTTTTGTAGGAACTTGTTCAGTACCTGTATTTTTTTGCCATTAATGCATAGTACCTCTTCAATGAGAGGGTTTAGGTCCTACTTCGCCATCTGACCCTATATACTGTTTGGAGACATCCCATATTTATTAAAGATTTTGTTAACTTTCTCAGACATGCAAATTTTATTATATGATATATATCAGGTTTTACCAAGAGTGGTTTACCAGGTGACTCAAATTTAGTAGAGGCGAAGCTGCAGAGTCTTGAAGACCGCCGTAAAGTTGCTTGCTTATCAGTATTCCACAAGATAGCTGCGCTGGAATCCCATGATTTAATTCCACCTGGCTTTTCCATAATCGGGATACTAGACGTAGGCTGGGGCTCCACCTCTATGTTGTGGATATTCCAAAGATTCGCACGTCGCGTTTCGCTTTCATATTTAATATGACGAACGACTAAGGGGTGAATTTCCTTGCCTGCAGACTTATTCCCTGAACGCTATAACTTGGGCATTTTCAAGACGAGAGTGAATAGGCATTATCTAGGTGTGTACGCTGCATCGTCACTGTCCATCAGAGACGTCACTTGCCTTTTTTTTTGTTGTCTTAATTAAAAACTGTAGGTTTTATTAAAAAAATAAGTCATCTACCTTTTAAACCAAATTTATTTGGACCAGCGTGGCCTTCACCTTCGGGTGTTCTGCAATCAGACGAATATGGAATAATAACATTTTATGGTAATTATCAGGAAGAAGGAGCTCGGGATCTGATGCTTCAATTCAGTATCTATTTCGCCGTGAGCACATTATTATTCCACATAATCTTTGTCGTAAGCGACTTGATCATTTGCTCGCAGAACTGCGCTGCCTTAGCAATATCTCGATTTAGCGTTGTTGCCCTTATTGCTATCGGTGAGTCCTTGAATTACCCACTTCTATAACGTTATCAACTAAGCTAATTAATATTCTTAAGGGAAAAAAGTTCCGGAAAATAAGCTGCGTTTTTGTGTTACTGCAAAATAATAAATAATTCAATAAATATTAAACAACATCACATATGTTGCTCTGATCTCAAAGTAACTAAAGAATTGTGTTTTTGAAATCGGAAACAATGACGGTACCACAATGACTCAGACCCGGGACAATGAAGAAAAGTTAGTTTCCACATTTACCTTCCCGATAATCGAACCCGGGACCTCAGAGATGGCAACACCATGAAAACCGGTATGCAAGCCACTCGATCACGGAGGCCGTCAAATAAATACTGAATATACGGACAAAATTAATAATACATAGCAAACAATAAAAAAACTTGTTCAAATCACAATTCTATATCAAAAAACTGTATACCCGAGTAATATACCCAACTTCCGAAAGAAATACTGACTTACCGCTATTGTCCTCTATTCTTACTTATTATAATATTTCCGTATGATCTTATCTAGCACCAAAATTTTTGAAATGTAATGTAATGTTAGTTTTCGGTAAAATATAGATTAAGTTATGACGCCAACAAGACTTTTCGGAACTTCCAGTTGTTTTGTTGTTCTTATTTATTCAAGAATTTTCGGCATCCTTATAAATAAGACAGTAACATTTATAGGGTCGTATTCCAGAACTCTACTCAATACTCAAGTCAGGACTTGAGTATTGCAGTGAGCACTAAAAATCATACTCATGTCCTTGCCATTAGAGTCGTATTTCCAGTGCTTGAAATCATACTCAAGTCTGCTCAAGTCCTAACTTGAGCATTGAGTAGAGTTATGGAATACGACCCATAATGACGATAAACTCATTTTTAATTTCCTTGTCGGAGCTTTTATTACTACCCTATTCTTAAGCGTGATTGGAGGTAACCCTGCGGGGTTAGCTTGAGACCATCCCTTAGATGCAATCCAGAAATATCTGGAACTTACAATTGTGAAGACCCGCGAATCATCGGCTGGCCATTGACTGATAGCATGACGTCATCACGACCCACGTTTATTGCATTCGTCATATACACTCGATTGGGTTCAGAAGTTAACTTCAACGGGTTACACGTTATTCAAAGTACTTACGTAATGCCGTTGCGCACAGATTTTCGAATTGTGTTCTGTAAGTGCTATCACAGAAGCTAGGTCTCGCCTTAGCACGTAAACGCTGCATATTACAGCTGGTGTATAGGTATTATTATGTATGATGTATACACAGAATAGTTGGGATGCCGAAAGCAGCTCGTATTGGGTATCGGCACATTCTCAACTCAGCTAAGAGGCCCCCCACACTAGCGTCAGCGTCTTGCCAACGCACGCACAGCGTCGACACAACGCCCGCGCCGCGGCGACGCAGCGTAGTATCCCTCTAATTGTGAACGCAACGCCAGCATTAAGCAACTGCTAAATAGTGCTGAACCCAGTATCGCCGCACTGGCGTTGCGTCGCGGTAGTGCGGACGTCGGGTTGACGCTGTGCGTGCGTTGGCAAGACGCTTACGCTCGAACGACGCTAGTGTAGGGGTAGTGTAGGGGGGGGACACGACGTCCGCGCGACCGCAATACAACGCCAGCACGGCATATATCCGCCGTTCGGCATTATTCAGCAAAGCAGCAGTCATTCAATAGTTTACCGTCATATCGCCGCCACGCGGACGTCGTTATGAAGCTGTGCGTGCGTTGCCAAAACGCTGACGCTCTGAAGGCGCTAGTGTGGGGGTCTCTTAGGGTCGTATTCCAGAACTCTACTCAATGCTCAAGTTAGGACTTGAGTATGATTTCAAGCACTGGAAATACGACCCTAGTGGCAAGGACTTGGGAATGATTTCTAGTGCTTTAAATCATAGTCAAGTCCTGACTTGGGCATTGAGTAGAGTTCTGGAATACGACTCTAACGGTCGTATTCTAGAACTCTACTCAATACTCAAGTCAGGACATGAGTATTGCAGTGAGCACTGAAAATCAAACTCAAGTCCTTGCCATTAGGGTCGTATTTTCAGTGCTTGAAATCATACTCAAGTCTGCTCAAATCCTGACTTGAGCATTGAGTAGAGTTCTGGAATACGACCCTAAGAGCTGTACCTATGCACTTAGGCCTCGCTTTTCCACGCACTTGCTATTGTTGCTATAGCGGACACTATCTTTTACATTAAATAAAGTCAGACAATCGTCTTCACAAAATCACAAGTGCATTTATGTATATGCTTCTATGTATAACAAGAGTCCTCTTGATATTTAAAATTTGTCCTTTAGGAGGTAAAACTATCATGAAACAAAAACTTCTGCTTCTGTGTATTTAAACGACAAATATCCATGGATGAGTGTTTATTAAAAAATGTTTTAATTGTTCTTTTTTGGTTTCAGTAATGCCCTATTCAGTCTTAGTAATTAATAGCTACAGACTCTCTCTAAAGCCTTTTCCTCCAAGCCACCCTAATAAGGTGGCTAATGATAAGAAAAGGTAAAAAAATACCATACAGATTTATCACCATTTAGAGCATTCCATTAAATTTTGATTTTTGTACGAAAATAAAATCTGATGAAATGTGAAAAATTATGGAATAAAAGTTGTAGTAATAATAGTCCAGGGAGGTAATTAGTATGTTACAAATAACCCAGCATATTGTCGAATTTTTAATTAGATGTCGTAAACCGACTGTTAGTGGATTGTCAGTATTTGAACAAGTAGTATTGTCTTAATGCAGGCCATACACTGACCGGTCTACCTGCGCTGCTGCGTCGGTACCTTGAAAGAAAAAAAAACAATGGAAGTGCCTCGATTTCTATTAGAACCGATGTCGCCAAAACTCACACATTCTTAATTTCAAACACTACACAATCTTGACATTGATTGATCGTAATTTAAAATTTAAAAAGTAATAACAAATTCAGGATTGTTAACATAATTTAAACTATAATTTACCCTGTTGGCATACCGTTGAAAGTTCAATACATATTATTACAAGTTACGACGTTTTGACATTGTATTGAAATTTCAATCAATGTGCTGCCATCTAGCGGTTAATTGCTGAACGACGACGAACTGGAGTTATTAATTTATTTCTCCAAAAAAGAAGCGACCGTATTGCAGGGGTATAAGCTTTACTTTTGTTTTTTTGTAACAAATAATATGTTTTAATGTAACAGAAAATTGAAAATTCATTAAAATAACGCTTTCCAATGATATGAAAAACCATCACGGGTAATATTTTTGGTGCGGCTATTATTTGTGCGCCCCAAAACAGCACAATGAGGCATTTTTCTATGATTTTAGAGAATTTGCATTAAAGAATGTCACAACCATACCATACAAAGCGAAAATGGCGGACTGAGCTCAGATAGGTCTATCGAGACCTGTTTTTGACACGCGTCTGACGCTAACTAACCACTTCTAGTGTATTTATTGTTCTGTGGTCGTTTGGGAGCTTGTATATGACCTATGCAGTTATTTGAATTTGTGCAAGCGGTCGGAGTAAAATCGAAAATCATATCCCTGTGTTGTATGCTGCGACTCTGCCAGTTCATCGCGTTGCATTGCTGCTTATAAGAATTTAATGCTAGTAGCCTAAGATCTGGTTCAATAGAGGGTCTCGTAACGCCTAAGTGATGATAGGTAATATACTAACGCTAAAGCATTAGTAATAGAGTTTTTTTTTATTTATTTTCGAAAACATACAGTTTTACACAAATGTTACAAAAAATTACTTATTAACTTAGAATAATAACGCATAGAATGATAGTTTCGTATCAAACGAACTGTCACAAGTGAGGCAAAAATCAAATTCATGTAGGCTACTTTTAGTAGTAGGTTAATTTTCAGTTTTAGTGAATATTTATATAAAAATACAAGCTGAAACGAGTTACTTCCTTGAGGAATGTGATGTTAGTATCTATTTTATGTTTGTCTGACGTATTTTTACACTCATTTACCGCACATTTCGTCATTTTTAGCTAAAATTCTGGAGCTGTTCGCGGTGCAAGTTGACCTTGAGCACTGAAGGCCCGCCCGCTAGTGTAGGCCCTTTGGGAGCGCTTCAATTTGCCTCACTTAGCGTGTGCGGGCTAGGTTTCTATGCGTTATTATTCTAAACTTATTAACAAACCAGGTTGTTCCCATAACAAATATTTACAAGTATCTAAAATGAAAATAATTGATGACACTTATCAAAAATCAAATAAACAATATATTGTAGACAGTAGTTCAATTAAACCAGCTGTCACAGAGGTTTTCATTTATTCATGGGGTCCTCTGTCAAATATACTTCCGGACATATAATTCGAACCTCCTCGCATTTTTGTCTTAAAGGGCTAGAATACAAAAGTAATGTTATCGTCGAAAAAAATGTTTCCAAATTTTCCAATCCAAATTTTCAACAAGGATTTATGGAAAAGACGTTTAGTATACTAGTTTCAAAATTGCTTAATAGTTTTTGATCAATCAAACATTGTTTAAGCTTAGGACATTTAGTACTGAAAATGCGAGGTGACTCGAATTTGTCCGGGGGTGTATAATATCTCCCACTGTTTTCTTGTGAGTCATCAATGAGTTTAACATAATATTTATGATGTACAAGTAGTTATTCTTTGTAATTCAACAATACAGCAAGGGTTCGATATGCTTGTTCAGCCGCTTGTTTAATGTTATACTTAGAATAATAACGGTGTCCTTTTTTACAGCGAAGTCTTACCACAAATATCAGAACCTACCTCTTATACCTAGTCATTTGCACTCACCACGCCGTCATCTTTCATTTTGGAAACTTAAAGGAGAAAAATGAAAAATAATTGAAAAGCCTGCGAAACTTAGTTTAATATTACTGGTAAAACTAAAACAATGCTAAATTTATGCCTTCGGTAACCTGCTCGTTACCAAGTTTTCCACTCACGATTATGCGCAAAGCTTTCCAGTGATATTTGGTAAGTGAAATTGTTTTAAGATTATTTGTATGTAATTCTTTGGATTATCGTGCCGAATTTTTACTGACAGTACTTTGAAAGATGAAACATTGACAAGAGTTCATCCAGGGTAGTACTCCCACCTTACCTATTTCTGCCGCCAAGCAGTAATGTCCTAATACAGGCACATGCTACAGTGCCCCTCAGATTTTCGCGATTTAAAGCTCTGAGTGGCACTGCAACCGTTATGGATACGCATGTCGCTTACCATCAGGCGCACGACTTGTTCGTTCCGTTACTTAATATTATATTAAAAAAAAGTCCACTGCTGAACACAGCTGCGTCTTCCGGTATCTACGCGGTTACCACTCGAGAACTCTTCGGCCCCATTGCCACTTAAGTTTGAGACAAGAATTAAAACCGATAAATTGTAATTGTACACAATGTTGTATAGGATCGAACTTCGATCAGAACTATGACATGACTGAACTATAAGACTGTCCAACAGCAACAGGGACTTGAAACGACAAGTCTGTCGAAGTTTACTCGTCTTGAACATTTTTCTTGTCGAATAACAGTTAATCGGTTTTTAATTTTGTCAAGTTTTTATCTTTCTGCATAGTGTTTTTTTTTCTTTTTTTAACACATACAATCAACATAGCCCCACACTAGGGAAACCCTGTATCCCAGCTCCCACGGACACACACACATAGACAACCAGAAATTACACCCAAACTCACGAGAGAAAGAAATGTAGGCCATACAAATATTTCTCCCGGCCCGGGACTCGAACCTCTGCGTGGCAGTTCGGCTTTGGAAATTCAGTTTATGATTTTAGTAGCGCTTGTGAAAGAGTTCGTCTAGGGAGGTACTGCCACCTTACCTATGAGAGCATTACTGCGTTCCGCTTTTGAAGAGTAAGAGTGTTGGTGAAATAACAGGCTCACGGGACTTGTCAACTTGTGTCTCAAAGTGACAGGCGTGGTGGCAGTACCCATTAGATCTTTGGGATTTAAAACTCCTAGTGGCACTGCATCTGCTATGCACCGGCGTGTCGCTTACAACCAGGCGCACGACTCGTTCGTCACGTCTCTTAGTACTTATGAAAATATATAGACATTTACATATTAAGGCTAACACAAGAGTAGGATGTTCATTTTAATAAAAGCTTTTTGTGTCCGGCATATATTTAATTAAAAATAGTTTTGAATTACATTTGTAAAACTTGTATAGGGGCTTAAGAAACGGGGTATATGGAATGGACTTCACCCATTGAGGTGGGATATTTGAGATTTTCTTATCAAATTTAAATATATCATTTAAATTATCTATGGTACCAATAATAATTATATTACCTCTCCTTAGATATTTATTTCCTTACGTTTTGATGTTCAAGAAGATATTTTTATAAAATGTCATTCAATGTCAATTACGGGGTAATTTAACAAAATTACAAATGAAAAATGTATTATATTTATTTATTTGATTATAAAACATAAGCGAAAATGTGTGATATATTACCAGAAGTCAAAACGTGTTGCGGGTTTGGGTCCGTTAGGGTTGGTTTGCTTTACATCGGCGTTCTAGCGGTAGTAAGTTCTTTTGTGTACTTTACAAAAAATTCAATAAAACCATGTAGACGAAAGTCTTTGAAAATTGCCAAAAAAATTAAAATTTCTATAAATGATCAAAATTATGTACAGTAAGAGGAAGAATAAAAAGATTATTCATAAATAATAAGTTTCGCAAAGCATTTGACGTCTCGTAAGAGGAAAGAGATGATTGTTTATATAATGGTGCTTCTCGGCCGTGTTGTTTACAACTTTTTCTTGAATGTTGTGTATATGTGGAGAAGACATCACTCTTTGCAATAAACGAAGAAATTTTACGTTAATTAAACGAATAACTTAGCACGAAATGTATTTATTTCTGTCATTTGTAATTGTCATCTCGGTATAACCCGGACACTCCATACAACGGTAGAAACTTTTAACCTTGAGTACTGTGCTATCTGCACACGCGCAAATGTGTGCTAGGACCCTTCACGCACATTAAATTTTGCTTATCACTTTCTTGTACTAATTATTATCTGGTTTAACATGCACAGTGACTTTGTAAGTGCAAACGAATGTATTGTTTATGTAAATAATATGATAGTTACGTTGACTAATGATTTTATTATTTAATTACTAAAGAAACAACAAAGTCAAATAAGTACCTTAAACAAAAGATAACATAATAACGGAATAATATTACTATAAATTACTTGCACTTAAATATTTTCTTTTAAATGTCTTATATAAATACAATATAAGTATAAAACACGCCGCGTGCATAGGCTCTCAGATCTGTGCCCTTTAAGCTCTGAGTGACACTGTAACTGCCATGGACCGGCCGCTGTAAAGGCGCATTTATTCGATACGAATTTTGTCGCGCTCGCCCCGCGCGACCGCCACGCCGCGACCGTGTGCATCTATCAGACATGGCAAAATACGCTCTATTTGTTTAGCTTTTACTTTTTAAATTAAATTATCGTGTCATGCATGCCAGGCTCGCCCGCCTGGCTTGTGGTCTACGTGGCGGTCGCCGAGCGGGGACCGCGGCAGCCGCACTGTTATATTATTAAGAGGAATTTAAATGTTGTTGCCTAGTAAATAGAATTCAGACTCACCATGAATTTACATGAAGGCATGGTAAATGGGCGGTCGACGCGCGGCGGCCGCGCGAAAACTTTCGCTGCGTGTAACCGGGCGCTAATGTTGATCACCCGTCGGCTGTGTGTGCAATGAGACTTATGTACGTGGGATCATAGTAGATCCAATGATGTGTGTCACATTTATACATTTGAAGGGCGCCTTACACACAATTAACACAAGTTTCAAGTATAATTAACGAGATGCTTTATTATGCATTTTCAGTAAGGATTCAAGGTGTTACCGTTTAAACATTTAAGTTATAAAGACATAGGAATCCAAGGTCCCGAGGCTATATAAGAGTTACGTTCAGTTTTACAATACAGGTTACGTATGATAAGTCGAAGTTACACTATTTACTTAATGTACACTTAGATCTATCTAACACAGTAAAGTTAAGAGTTTACAGAGTACATGAGCGACTTGAAAAATTGCCCGCCACTGACCTGGGTGTTACTGGATCTACAACGTGTCGTTTACTAAAATGCGCACACTTGTTTGTCCTGTCACTTAAATCTTAATAAAAACATAAGCAAGTGAAGAAATAGATTTCTATCGATTTCGATCGATACGCGCTACTGCAAAAAAGTCGTTAAAAACCAAAAAGATCTGCAACAAGCACACAGAGAAATTCGTAAGGTCCGCTGGTTCGTTCCGTGGCTTAGTTGGCATAGCGTCTGGCACGGTTTGCTAGAAGATGTTGGTTCGAATCCAGCCCGATCGAATAATTTTTTCTTTTGAACTTAGTACTAATAAATATAACACAAGCAAGCCTTAAACGTCATTTTAGATTTCGATATGGAAAAATATTTTTTCAGTTGAATATCACGGTCGCGAAACATCCTGACATTCATTAAACTTAATTAAGCGAAGCGAAGAAGCTGCTAAGCTAAACTGCTTACATGTAAAGCTACCTGGCTTAATGAAGAACTAGATTTGTCACAGATTGCGCAACGGTAAAAGGTCGATAAAAAGCAATAACAAAGATCTCAAACAACCACTTACAGGAACTTGTAAGCTGTGCTCGAGGCTCAGTTGGTATAGGGTCTATCACGGATTGCTGGAAGACGTTGGTTGGAATCCAGCTGGATCGAATGATTTTTTTCTTTCGATCTTTGTACTAATAATTATAACATAAGCAAGCCTTATGCGCCATTTTAGATTAGGAAAAAGCAGTTTCATTTCCATAACATAATCAGCTATAAAACGCAATGGGATTAACATAACTAACGACAACATTCTCATATTTTTCTACATAAGTTTTGTTTATAGTGCCACTACCTATCAACCTCTTGGTTATGCGGGAAGGACACTGACCTGTACGAGCGAGCCCGAACATATATTAGGGGTTAAAGTATGAAATTGCCGTTTTATTGCAATAGGTTCT